GTATATTAGAAACAGGTGCTTTCGGTTGACACACGAGCTGAAGTTGTGGCTCCTTCAGTCACGTGTTTGGCTGAGTCTGTATTGGACGAATTTGGTATACTGGTGGGTATGATTACTACGGAAATCATATTGAAGTGCCGAATAACTGGTTTTAATTTGAGAACATGAGATGTGATAATCGCTTTTGTGCTGTTTCTGCTAAGTATCCGTCGGAAGCACGAACAGCTCAGTACTCCATTTTCTCTTATTTCATTTTTATTTTTTAATCTTACTAGTAGAAGAAACCTAGGTAGGATTGTGATTCCGACTACGTAGTGGGAAATTCTTTTTCGGTGTTCACTTGAGTAGCCCATATGACACAAAATAGTCAGCGACCCTTTTTCTGGTGCCATCTCCAGCCTTCTTTTCATACTGTTGTTAGAAACAAGGACTTTGGACTCATTACTAACCTATGACTTTAGACATCTAACTCTGCCAACCTTGATTACAGTATGATGTAGTTATTGTGCAGCACGCGTAGTGTGTGTTCCGATGCAAACGCTACTCCTGTGCATGTTACTCAATATATTAAAAGGGAAATGTGAAACGATTTAAGAAGATAGTGAAAGCGACAGAAACTGAGAGATGCTTGAAATTAGAGACGTATCCTTAACCGTCCTAACAAGCAACTTCACGTGGATTCAGTGTCTTTGTCACATGTCCCATGTTCACAAGAAAATGAGTGTGTATAGCAATATTTCACACAACCAGGAAGGGAGAAGGTGATCGAGACAGACCTACCGGATATTGGTTCAAACTTGATATGATCGTAGTCAGATTTGTTGTCACGGTTGTCTACCAATGAACTGGAGATACAGTAAGTATACTTGGGAGCGTTTGAGCATTCTAACACAGCAGTGGAAAGATGATTACCACCGGTTATTGATGAGAGACCAACAGGGTCAGTGCAAACGAGAATGGAGCACCCAAGCTTCCAGATGTGTAGTATTCCAACACAAAACATCCCTATCACAAGCCTATATTAGACAGCTCACTCCTATGTTCTCGCTTCTTATTGCTCCCTTACAGTTCCAGGTATTTGAATACGTTCAATGGGTGGTAGGCCAACCACTCGACTGCACTAAGTATAGTCCGACTTGATAATGGATTATCTCATCAAATTCAATGTAGTTCACACCCCGCTGATAAACGAAGCTACACAAGTTCCGAGCATCAAATTACTAACTGTCATGATAGGAGGAGGCAGTGAAGACTATGACGTGACTTCCATGTCCTCTCTTACAAATTAAGTAGTCACATCATGACAACTCAACAATTGTGAAATGTCTATTACTCCAGTAGCATAAATCCATGTACTAGCACAAACTTAGACGATAATACTGCAGATTTCGGTGGCATATATAGTGCTAATGTACTCGTAGAATGCCCGAGCTTTGTCAAAACGTCTCTCTCTGAAAATCTCATAATACTACCTAAACAAACTTCTGGGACGCCACCCGACGTCACTCTTATTCTCTTTATATATGTAGATAGGTTTGTTGGCTGTTATACGGGCTTTCAAAGAGCTTCTGTTCATAAGGCCATTTAGACGTACGTACAACCGAGACACAAACGTTTCGTGTTTTTGACCATAACAGAAGAGATACTTTGAAAGCCCCTTCAAGTAGTTTTCTTGGAAAACATCGTTATTTATCTGTTATTTCGCTTCTTTATGTACATTAATTTATACTCAGGACTATTGCAGTCACTTTTCACAACCTTCAAGCTTGTTGTCTAGGTCTTTCGCATATACGTTGCACACACTGTACTTTTGGGAAAGTTACTAGATCCATGCGATATTACTTGCTAGGACGGTCGAACGTAACGTTGAAACTTGTGGTGTCTTTTTTGGTCATATATTTCTGTAACATATTTTCACTCATCTGAAGTATTTCCCTTTCCGGATATTTACATCTTTCGTAATTCCACTTTGAATTGTTTCAAATTCCACCTTTTAGTCCTCTCATTAACGTGCACGGAAATAGCGTTGGCATCAGCAATTATACCATAATTAGAAGGACGTCTAGTAGAGGTGTTGAAGAAATCGTTCAAAATGAGTTGAAAAGCCCTGTACTTAGCTACAGGTTTGTAAGAAAACCAACTATGTCACCCCAGAGTAATATGTGTGACACGGGTCACTTGATTAGAACCCTGAAACTAAATCGCGTACTCAGTAATCTGGATGAAACGCCTATCCATATTCCTGCTCATAGCGAGACCAGTAAGTAAAGAAGAAACCAGAGGAAGTGGTGTCCGAAACTTCCAGTTACACATTAATGGGAATTGTATTGCATTCTCGTTACCGAGTAAAACCAGTGACTTGGAAGTTGAATGTAATTTGTGTGGCAGATGGGCTCACTACCGTTAAGATACTGCAGAATCTATGGAGTACTATTGATTCGTGCCAAATCATTTATTTGAACCATATTTCTATTACGTACTCCGAAAATGTAGTAAAACTGTACCGAAGGAAGTAACATAAGAACAGAACAAAGCCCCGCTGAAAACAACCGATTAATTCTTACCAATATACTCAATATGTCCTACACATCCACTACTAACTTTAGCAACAAGACTTGAGAGCAAAATAAACAAGTGGATATTGTTTCTCGAAACACTATCTTGTCAGATCGCGTAAATACAACAGTAGCGTTACTCTAAAGGTAGCCTGCCCTAAAATCTGTAACCAAATTAGATATGGTCATGAGCCTTTCTCTCGGTTTATTGAATTACATTATTGTTGATTTGCGAGATGCAGTGAAAATGATGGTGATTATTGAGAAGTGTATTTGAAATGTTGTTTACACAACTGTTATAACATCCGGTTCATGTTTTTTCCCCTGTTTCTTGCGAATGAACTCAGGGCATAAGATATAAGTGCTAAGCTCTTCTTCCTGGTTCTAGACCGATCACGACCTTAGCAAATCTTTCCCCAAGAAAATATTCATCGATTTGAAGGAGACGCGACGAAAGCTTTCAGTAAGACTATAATTTATGGAAACTTTTAAGCGGGGCTAACTTAACCTTGAAAATGTCCATCTACTGACCAGAGCCAAACTTTTGAAATAACTCCTTGTCTGGAGTTTTTCCAGATATTCCAATGTACATTGGATTTTTCCGAAACACGTGTTTCGGAAAAATCCCAAAAACTCTTGAGTTTTTCCCGATCATGGAGCTATAGCTTCAGTAGTTATAACTAATGCTTTAGGAGTGAATATGGTGATACTAAGACATTATTCTATACTGAAAGTTTTATAAAATTGGATGCAAACTTCGGAAGGCCATAGGCTAAGTGAAATCAGCTTGTGCGTTCTATTTGCACTACGTAGTACTTATGGTTTTGACGGTCGAGTAGATTATGATGACATCTGACTGATTCAGTGGCAGTTCAAATAAAATCTCTAGGTGCAGCGTACATGTCTGGTAATTGGGGCTATTAGAGAATCAGTGTTCTCTTGACCACTCGATTTGTTAGATTCCAGTAAGTATAGACCATTGCTAATAAGCGCCCCCATATGCCTTGGTACGGCCGAGGATGGGAAAAGTCCGCTCTTCCTCTCGAAATGCTCTCACATGGCGACGTGCATACAACCACTATCAGGGAAGTCCTACTCACTAAATTTTCGCGGCGGAGGTTATTATTATTTTATTTATTTAAACATATAAATGTTGGTATAAAGGGGCACCAGATATATATATGCGCCACACAAATCTCATTTGATTTGTGTGTGGGCTTTAATACTGCCTGGTTGTCTGAAGTGAATCAGGTGGTTTTCTTAAGAGGCCACACCCTGAGCCTTTGATCTAAAAGTCCAATCCACAAGGCAGTGGAGCAACGTTAGGAGATGCAGTCTCATGGTAGCCGGTGACCAATACTTGGTTCATACGCCAATTGTTCCTTCAGGATACTGGAGCCCATTTCTACCATTGTTTCGGAATCAGGGTTTTCCAACTTCCCTAGGTGGACTCCGTGTCCACCGACCCGGTTAAAGCACCGGACATTCGCTTTTTGTCCTCTCGATTTCGTAAACAACACTCCTAGTGCGAGAAGGCAGTGAGTAGGACTTCCCTGGCAGAGGCTATATACGTGTGGACATGTGAGAGAATTTGGAAAGGGAGAGCATACTCTCCCCACTCTCGGCCGTACCAGGGCATTTGGGGGCGGGAGTGTTGCGTACAAAATTAAGAGAACGAAGAGCGAATGCCCGGCGCTTTAACCAGGTTTATGGATTCGTAGTGTCTACCTAGAGGAGTTGAAAAATCCTAATTCCGAACTAATGGTGCACAAGGACTCCTGGATCTTGAAGGAACGATCGGCGTATGGACCAATTATTGGTCACCGGCTACCATGGGATTGCATCTCCTAACGTTGCTCCACTGCCTTGTGGATTAGACCCTTATGTTAAAGTCTCCGATTGTGACCTCCTAAGAAAACCAACTAGTTCGGTTTGGGCACGTGGGCTGTATGAAAGCCCTCACATAAATCGAATGATTTGTGTGGCGTGTATGTAATTTTTGCCTCCTTGTACCAATGTTTATGTGTTTAGATAAATAATTCCTAATAAGCACTGAACCATTAGGTCAAGCTTTCTCTCGAATTATCGGTCACTTGTCTGAAAAATACAACCTAAATACGGTGATGAGGTTTAGGCATTGGCGGTGTCTTTACACGCTATTCCACTTTCTTCTTCTTAAATAGTGGAATACTTTCACTTCCCAGTTCTGCCAAAGTAGGATAATAGTCACTAGCAATCATAAACTAACTGCTTCTCGTTTGATATCGATGTCCTATTTGGATTCCTAGTCTCGGTAAGTAGTTTTGGACTGATAGCAACCAGTGGCTGAATTCCCAATTCCCTTCATACATAAAGAACTTGTTCATCTGTTTGGTTAGACGTTTAGCGTATCTCCGCAAACCTACTCATGGTATAAATAACGTGACATTGGATTTTTGTTGTTTTCTAGATTTCACTAGTTGTTTGTCTTATCTAGTACACAATAGTAAATACTATTTTTATAGGTGACGTTTCGGAGAAATTATCACTTGGTGGTATGCCCACACTAAGTCGGAAAAAACTACACCATCAGCTGGAAAATGTTAAGACATTTCAAAACCCAAAACTTGAGTTTGAACAGTACTGCACCTCAGCGCAAGTTGCAGGTTAGTTGATGAAATACTATAAGTAATCTACCATTTGTTTAGCGGACATCTTGTTTAATATTCAAATGACAGATAATGCATTGGAAGGGATGTCTGTAGCCGATCTTGGATGTGGTACTGGAATGTTGTCTATTGGTGCTAAACTCCTTGGAGCTAAGTAGGAGACTGACAACCCTTCAACCTTAATAATAGATATCAGTTGTGTACTTGGGTTCGAAATTGATGAGGATGCTGTAAATCAGTTCCAATCAAACCTAGAAACATGTGAAATGCTAGATGAAAATATTGACGTCACTTTGTGTGATGTAGTACGGCTCTTTCATGAGAACAACAACAAATTTGTGGATACAGTTATCTTAAATCCACCTTTTGGCACTAACCCAAAAAATAATGGTGACGTCTCACTGACACATCGATCTTATTTTTTCAGGTATTGACATGGCGTTCCTACGTGCTGCGCTGTCCATTGCCCATTTACATGTATATTCACTTCATAAAACCACTACACGAAACGTAAGTATAATGAGTTTTAAGTTATAAAATATGTATAGCGAAGGTTCTACTAGATCGTTGACTGTGAATAAAAGCTAGTGGCGTGTGAATTTTAACAAACAGGTTTTTGCGAAGATTTAGCTGACGCTAATTTTCTGAGTTACACTACTTCATAACTGTTAGCAAAAACCGGTTGTCGGTCTCAAAGAGTATGCTATTTTTGAGTTAACTCTTAACGACTAAACTAACACTCAGTATTCAGTTAATTAGCCTAGTGGAAACTTGCCAATTAATGAATGAAGCTCAGTTATATTGTTTAGCGAGAAATAAAAGTTAGTGACTGTATGAGTGATATAGTGAACAAACTAAAGCCACAAGCTATTTCATGGCGTATCAATTACCTATACGGTACTTGCATTACATAACCAAGTGTTCGGAACATTTTAACCGCATTTTATAAACCCTAGCATGCTTTATAAAGGGTCTTTTGAAAACTAGTCACTTAATTCTTATTACGTGTTGGTTGTTGTAGTAGGTACACCTCGAATAGCAAAAATATTGTTTAGGAACTATTTACTGAAGTGTGCATCGATCAACGGTTTACTATGTTGTTTTATAATTGCTATGAGTCAAAATACTTGCTCATTCGTGTCTACTTTTTTTTAATAACTATATAGCATGTTCTACATACAATACAGAGTACCGGGGCACAGGGCAAAGTGGTTGCAGAACTTCGCTATGATCTGCCTCGTTTATACAAGCGTCATCGTTATAATACAGTAGATATAGCTGTTGACTTGGTTCATTCTTGGTTTTAGATTTGAATAAATTTACTTCCACATTATTTCTTTTTATAAAACAGCTAAAGTAGGTGATTATCGATAAAAATTATGTAATATTTCGCATGTTAATAAACATCTAGATCAACCATTAGATATAACACATTCAAATTTTCAAGATTTGTAGCATTTGTACTCCTTATCGTACAGATGACCAAGAACACCAACGATATCGTCGCATTTTGTCGGGCAATGCATTGTAACGTCCAGGAATGGGTTTTGGTCTTGGTATATTTCTTGAATGTAAAGCTTCATACATTTCTTGTTCCTTACGTATGGTGAAATCTGATCGACCAGGATAAGAACATTTTAATCTAAAATAGTCTGGTGAACTTTTACTTGAGACAAGATCAACAGGTGGACCGATCGGTCGTATTTTCCGACCAAATCTTCCTGTTTTACGCTGCCACAATCCACTGCGTTGTTTAATTCCTCTCCATTTCTTTTCACCGAATTTACGAAATCTATACATATATAAATCGAAAAGAGATAAATAAATATGATATTAGTGGTAAACGTGCAATATCTTACAATCTAATGATTTATTTGAAAAAAACTTTAGTTATTACAAACAAAACTCGGCACTTACAAATCGCGCTCAGCCCCCAAATGCCCTGGTACGGCAAAGAGTGGGGAGAGTCTGCTCTCCCTCTCCAAATTCTCTCACATGGCCACGCGTATATAGCCTCTGCCAGGGAAGTCCTACTCACTGCCTTCTCGCACTAGGAGTGTTGTTTACGAAATCGAGAGAAGGAAAAGCGAATGTCCGGCGCTTTAACCGAGTTGGTGGACACGGAGAGTCCACTTAGAGGAGTTGGAAAACCCCCATTCTAAACCAATGGTAGAAATGGGCTCCAGTATCCTGAAGGAAAAAATGGTGTATGAATCAATCGTTGATCACCGGCTACCATGAGATTGCATCTCCTTACGATGCTCCACTGCCTTGTGGATCAGGCCTTTATATGTCAAAGGCTTCGGGTGTGGTCCCCTAAAAGAACCACCTGCCTAGGTTTGGGCACCCGGGCAGTATCACAACCCTCACACAAATCAAATGAGTTTTGTGCGGCGCATATATATCTGGTGCCCCTTTGTTTCAATATTTGTGTTTAAATAAATAAATAAACAAAATATCACATTGTCCAACAATTAAATAATACTTTACGCCACTTCTCACAGTAATAAACAAATTGAATCCATGTAGCAGAAAGTATTAACCTCAATTAAAAGCCCAAACAATGTGTAAAACTACTTGTCAATTACCTTTATACATCTATAATAATACTAAGCGTGTAGCGTAAACCTCTAAATAAACTTAAAAAGTTTCTCTATGTAAGTGAATTGAAAGAGTCTTAGTTCTACTGTAGTGAACAAGAACACGAGTGGGGGACAATCGGATTTATTTAAGCACAAATTTCAAACTATCTTACTAAGATCTGATAACCATACAGCAAACAGTTAACTTGCAAAATAACAATCAATTGTCTCAATTTTCACTGTTCCTTCTGTAAATATCAATCCATCTTCTCTAATTTCATTATTTATGCATTTTCCTACCAATTACGCTTCATTTAAGTTCTTTCCTTATCGGTCTTCTGCCAAAATACATCATATACTACTTATGAGGATATAAGTAGACCACACTACAACAATCACTGAAAATAAAATTTATTTGACACGATACAGTTTAAAATGACAGTGTGATTATCAATAACACTATAGAATTTAAAGAATATGTACCTGTACCCATTCCCCCCCAAAAAAAAGAAGACCCAAACGCATTTAAAATATGTTGACACTTAACACAAACATCAAACGATGAAAATTTTACATGATTAGAAAGGGGTTTGTGGAGATTTCAGTATTTTCATAGTTGAAATCATGAGTTAATTGAAGTTAGACCACCATGGAAAACTTGGAAGCACTGAATGACCTTTTCGTCCTATTATGGGACTCCTCAGAAGTGCACATCCACGATCCTGCCTCGCAAGATTCGAACCAAGGACCTACTAGTCTCGCGCCAGAGCACTTTACCGAATCTCTCGAAGCAGGATCGTGGCTGTGCACTAATGAGGAGCCCCATAATAGGACGAAAAGGTCGTTCAGTGCTTCCAGGTTTTCCATGGTGGTCTAGCTTCAATTAACTCATGATTTCAATTATGAAAATACTACATGATTATTAACAATATGAAATCTAGTCATTCACAATTAACTTACTTAAATTGATCATGATTTTGATTAGAAACTTGTCCAACTACAGACATACATGTTGGTAAAAGTCGATAAATTTTACGTTTTCCATTTGTTCTAACAAATACAACATATTCATCTCCTAGTTCATTAGTTGAAGATGTTAAATTTAAATCATCATTTAATTTTGTACCAACATATTTTCCTCGTCGAAATATTGTTGCACTAGATCCTGCTGTACGACAAAATAAAGCACCTTGACCAGGTTTTATTTCAAATTGACTAATGATTGTACCAACTGGTAATGCACCAACTGGATGAGCATCACCTTCTTTTGGATCAACTACATTAAGAATACATATATATATATATATATATATATATATATAGTACAAGCAAAATGAGATTATTGCAATTATAATAAATGCAGAAAACTGAACATTAGTTCATTTTGAACTGTAACTTGATTTCATAAAGTAAAAAATTATAGAATATCAACTGCTAGTTTTAATTGCTAAGGTGAAACCAAGGATTTTGGCTGCTATTAGCAAGTATCTAGTAAGAGACAAAATACATTGTTTTAACTAATTATAGCCGTCAGAAAAACAAAGTTTGGCCTGTTATATTTATACTTAAGGAAAATATATTAATGCATTGTACAGTTTTTTTTTAAACGCACTTACCATTGGTAAGCAGAGATGGATAGTGGCTAGCAGTGGAATCCAGGACGCGCGACACTTCGTCCTATTTGAGACTCGTCAGCTAGACGTACCTGCATCTCAGAGTTCATGTTCACTTTGGGACTCGAACCCAGTACCCTCGCTTCAAACGCCATCGCGGTATCCACTCGACCACTGAGTCCTGATAGCTACGTTTGAAGCGAGGGTACTGGGTTGGAGTCCCAGAGTGAACATCAACTCTGAGATGCAGGTACATCCGGCTGACGAGTCCAAAATAAGACGAAGTGTCGCGCGTCCTGGATTCCACTACTAGCCAATATCCATCTCTGCTTACCATGTTTACGAATTAAGACTATATCGAGGCAATACGCACAGGATGCACATATGCCAATTAGAGACTGACCAGTTGCAGTCCTAACACTTGATGGGAAGATTCAAACAAACAATACTAAATGAATTCGCACTTACCATTGTTGGAAATTATCATTGCACTAGTCAAGAATTGAGATTGAATCATCTGCATCCATCAATTCAGCTTAAATATTACATATCTTTCACGAAAACTATAGCGTTACAGAAGGTTAGCGAATGCAATCTCTTTCTGAATAGAGCTATAAACTCACAACTATATGAAGGAGAAAGGTAGTAACTTTTGTTTACTCTTAGTTGTACATAGTTATTTCATAAGACATGTGTGACTTAAATGATCATAGTCAATTTCGAACTCAGAGCATCTAGATTTCATGTAATGCAGACTATGCCTACTTGACTGGATTTTAATATAGTCTCAAGAAGTCTAGTAATCATAGAATTTACAATAAAAGGTTACCGTATAACACTTTTAATGAAGATCTTTTGTGAAATGATGGACGTCACTTTATTTTATGTAAGAAATACAATAGACATTCGCATCAAAAGTTTACCGTTTTTATCGAGTCAACTATCCGTCATAAAGAAAACATCGAGATAGATCAAATTTTACGATTAATTGGATTTGGAAGGGTGTGTTAAAACTCCACGAAATATGCACTTCATAAATCCTTCAAAATTATTGGATTCATCTTTAGGTTTTCCAATAGGGAAACGACTTACTGTATCTGATATTTTATTTTATCTGCGTATTCTAAGATGATATTTGGAGTTTCTGGTAAAAGATCAATTCCTGAAAATTCAGTCTACGAGTATGCTATTTCCAGTAGTAGGTTTATGATGAAATGAAACAAAAATGGAGATAGTGGACAACCTTGCTGGACACCACTTGAGGTTGCAAAATCAGATGACAGTTCGCCATAAGCTTTCACTCGACTGGTAGTGTTCGAGTCAAGAGCCTTCACAAGGTTTATGTACTTCTGAGGTACACCCTTCAATGAAAAATAGTACAACAGAACGTCTCGGTTCACAGAGTCAAATGCTGCTTTTAAGAGAGGCCACCACTGTCGGACGGCCATAAGAATGTCTGTATTCCACAATCTGACAATTAGTGAATATGTGGTCGATGCAATTACGACCAGGTCTGAAGTCAGCCTGATTTTCTCGTGTTTGTTGAGCGTTCAATAATTATTGAGGCTAGTATTTTAGATGCTATATAGGTCAGACTAGTTCCTCTATGGTTATCACAGGATGAGTTTGCCCCTTAGCTATATATTGGGACCAGTCATTAATATTGAAACTTGGATTTCTTGATATTTTAGTAAATCTCATAACTTTTTGATAGTTATATTAACAATCTACATGTCAGACATTCAATCAAGCATTACAATAAATGAAATTGGCAAATGCTTCGTCGGTATTATGAAATAACTCCTACTATGCTGAGATTAGTTGTATACAAATATGCAAAGTCAATTAATTTATACTTTTAATTGGTTAATGAGCCTAAACCTAGCTAATGAGTATCTGAAAAGATTCAGCTTCAAGAGCGGTTCAAAAGCGTCTTTAACACAGTTATTATCTAAATACTAATCGTAAGATTTAGGAAGGAGGAAGGGAAAGATATAATGAATGTGTAAAGTTTTACCTGGTATAGTAGGGATATCAACGTGTGAACGTATAACATCTCCAGGTTTCATATTAACAGTTGCAATAATCCATCTTTTCACTTCACCTGAAGCTACTAAAGCAATAAACGGATGTCTCCACCATGTTTTTTTGACCTAAGAACATAGATTAAAATAAAATATCATTAAAAAAAACACGACAATTTCTTTCTTTTTAGTAACGAGTATTGTTTTACTCTTATATTGTTTATTGTTCTCGTGGTGATAACTTTCCAACTTGACAGTCTAAGTTGAATTATTTAAAGTAACAGTTTAAAACCAATGAAGTGAAAATTATTCTGCTAATGGCTGGAAAAAAGACATTTTCACTTATTCAGTAGCTGTCTTTTTCCTGGTCTCCAAGTGCCCTGGTATGGTCGAGGATGGGAAGAGTTTGCTCTTTTTCTCTAAATGCTCTCACATGACAACGTGCATACAACCACTACCAGGGGAAGTCTTACTCACTAAATTCTCGCAGCATTACTGTTGTTTACGAAATTGAGAGGATGGAAAGCGAATGTCCAATGCTTTAACCAGGTTGATGAATTCGGAGAGCCTACCTAGGGGAGTTGGAAACCCTGATTTCGAACTAATGGTGCACAAGGACTCCAGGATCCTGTAGGGACAAATGGCATATGAACCAATTATTGGTCACCGGCTACCATAGGACTGCATCTCCATACGTCGCTCCACTGCCTTGTGGATCAGACTTTTATGTCAAAGGCTCCGGATGTGGCCTCCTAAGAAAACCACCTGATTCGGTTTGGGCACTATCAAAGCCCACACACAAACCAAGTGAATTGTGTGGTGCATAAGTATCCGGTGCTCCTTTGTAGCAATATTTATGTGTTCAAATTATTAAAATAAAATTACCCAGGTAAATGGTACAAATTGCGTACAGCTTTTGGTATAACATCAGTATTTGGAGAGCACTCTTAGTTAAAACTGTTTGCAACAGATAATGAAAGAAAATTTCAGTCTTAGTGCTCATATTTGCAATAGCCTGATGAAATGTCTTCACTAAGTAGTATATACTTGGATATAGTTTAAGAAGGACTTGTCACGGTTAATTTTTAGGTTTCAACATTATTATTATTATTGTGGAAAATGTGGGTTCATTTAACTGTTTATTGATTAAGAAATAAACTTTCCTATAAATCTCCACTTTTTAAGCAAAGATGGATAGTGGCTAGCAGTGGAATCCAGGACGCGCGCCACTTCGCCCTATTTGGGACTCGTCAGCTGGGTGTACCTGCATCTCAGAGTTGATGTTCACTCTGGGACTCGAGCCCAGTACCTTTCGCTTCAAACGCCATCGCGTTAACCACTCGGCCACTGAGTCCTGATAGCCACTTGCTTGTGCAATGGGGTGAAGTTTGGGACTGCAACTGGTCAGTCTCTAATTGGCATATGTGCATCCTGTGCGTGTTGCCTCGATATAGCCTTTATTTAACTCTGAGATGCAGGTACATTAGCTGATGAGTCCCAAATAGGACGAAGTATCGCGCGTCGTGGATTCCACTACTAGCCAATATCCATCTCTGCTTGCAATGCTTGTGAATTAAGGCTATATCGAGGCAATACGCACAGTATGCACATATGCCAATTAGAGACTGACCAGTTGCAGTCCTAACACTTGATGGGGAAGATTCAAACAAACAATACTAAATGAATTTAATCTCCATTTTTGATTATTGACTTCATACTGACCAAAAGAGGATCAACATTTCGAAAGTTTACGGGAACTGCGTCATTGCAAGCTCAGTAACCGGTACATATTATAAAATAGGTCATGAAAAGTTATCTTTGAGAAAACGACAAGACAGTAATATGTCCCCTTCTGTCCATATTGTATCCAATGACAACAACAGAGTTATAATTTGGGTTTACTTACCTGTAATACTAATTCTTCATGGATAGTTTTAGTTAAAACTTGTCTGGAACGATTATTATCCACCATAAACCATGGACGATTTAATCCAGTTGTAACATGTTTTAGTTGAATTTTACCTAAATTCGAGGAAAATTAGAATACAAATGGTCTATGATTCAAATAAGTATAATATGGCAACAATAAAATTGTAATAAACTGAATTTAGGTAGGTCGTGTGCTGAAAAAATATACAAAACAGTTTTAAAGTATCACTGGTTTACCAATCATGGCAGAAAAGGATCTTGTTATGTAGTAGCGAAGACATAAGTACGGGTAACTTGCAGGACCTACTATTGGACTATCATTCTTATTGTATAACTACTCGGTAACTAGATTATCTAAGCTTTATTTTGACCTATTGATTATTACTATATGATTTACTGTCCCTATGTTATACTCAGTTTTATTGATTGTTGTCTCCCACGCTTACAGCCTCATTTGGTCTGGTTTTGTACAAATATTATTTTCTATTATGTGGTATGATGTGGCCTGTCTGTCTGATATATAAACAAAGTATGCTTGGAATAAATGATTCGTACTGCCGAGGCTGCTATTGGTGTTTTTGGACTCAAGTGGACGGGTTGGGCGGATAAGGGCCAATAAGGACGCTAGATTACTCATACTAATCGAACGTCATTGTCACAGTGTGAAGGTCGTAGAAGTCGTATTCTATTGGTGGACAATTTACACGAATTACGTCCTTGTTAAATTCGTAAGGTCATAACGAATCAGCGACGACCTTGATCAAGTCATAACAATTGGCTACCGCCTAGGTCAAAAACATAACAAATTGGCGACGGCTAGGTCAAGTCATAACAGATCTCAACCCTATTCTCACATGATATGTTTTGAACAAATCTCAATACCATGGGAAGACAGTGAGTAGGACCTGACTGGTAATGGCTGTATGCATTTTAATGATCATTATTAGGCTATACGTCGACATTCACAAACACATTAATTGAATCTATTTCTCGGTATAGATGCTGCTTTATGAATAATGTTTGTAAGGATGAACCTGCAAAGCTTAAATTTTCTACTAATGGATATTTATTAGGCAATCAAACTGAGTCCTGTTGAATATGTGTTATGTTGACTTCATTCAATATGCAAAAGCAGGGTCGAAAAAAGTTGATGAAGGGTTATAACGAGAAATTTACGTAGATTTATAAATATCTGAACGACACTTATGAGAATCTGGAATGAGATTCACAAATAATGGGTTTGACCTGGAACTTAGGAAAACCTACAATAAAAAATAACAAATAAGCTTCGTGAGGGAATTTTCGAAGTTCTAGTGAGAAGCCGTGACCAGTGGAGCTAATCCGTGTCAGGTAGAGAGAGGTATTTACCTCAAAACAATGGAAGATGGTCGTGCAATCTCGTGGATTGGTTAAGGTTAGAAATGAACACGGTTGGATGCCGGCTCAGTGGTCTAGATGTTGAGCGTCTGCGCGCGAGACCGAAGGCCCTAGGTCCGGGTCCCGCGAGCAGGATCGTGGATGCGAATTGCTGAATGGGACGAAACGGCCGTCCAGTGCTTCTAGGTTTCCAATGGTGGTCTAACATCAATTAGTTCATGATCTCAATCAAAAACAAGGCTCTAAATTAGTTGAGTTATTAGATTTTAGCGGTTGAACGATAATGAAGAAGGCGGGATAATTTTAAATTAAGTATGATGTGCGAAACTGATTAATAAACTCATAGACTGCTATCTGTAACTACTAGCTAATACTATTTGAAGCTAAATGAACGTTTGAGAAATTTATTTTATTTCCTTAAGTCTGGAACACTTATTAAACTAGACACTAATTCATCACTTCATTCTACATGTATTTAGTTTATTCAGTGTTTTTCACTTGCCACTGATCGCCCCCGGATGCGCTAGTACGGCCGAGAGTAGGAAGAGTCTGCTCTCCCTCTCCAAATGCTCTCACACGGCGATGCACATACAACCACTACCGTGAAAGTCCTACTCACTAAATTCTCGCGGCATTACCGTTGTTTATGAAATTGAGAGGACGAAAAGCGAATGTCCGGTGGACACGGAAAGTCCACCTTGGGAAGTTGAAAAACCCTGATTCTAAATCAGTGGTGCACATGGACTCGATTATCCTGAGGGAACAAATGGAACCAATTGTTGGTCATCGTCTACCATGGGACTGCACCTCTTCACGATGCTCCACTGGTTTGTGAATCAGATCTTTAGGTCAAAGTCTCCGGGTGTGGCCCCCCCACGAAAACTACCTGATTCAGTTTGGGAACCCTGACAGTATCATAGCTATCACACAATTAAATGACAAATTTTCTGTGCTCAAATAAATAAGAAAATACTGAAACTTAAAAACCTCAAGGAAATCAGCAATCTACCGAATTTTATAATTTTAATGAATTCTATGTTTGCACTTGAAAAAAAGAAAACAACTCGAAGTTCACTTGATTTAATAACTGTGTTACAGAAATTATTCTGATTGAGAAAAGTAGTTGGAAAAAAATGTAACAGTAAAATGTCATTATTATATAGTCACACGTATTACCGTCAGGTCCTCGTCCTCCTGTTCGTACCAATGGCATTGCGTCAACTGTATACTGATGAGGATCCATCACTTTACTAATTGCCCAATAGCGACTAACTGGCCGCGGATATGTTATACCAGGACGGCGATTTAAACTGCAGCTTGTTGACAATCCATATTTATAAATTTGTAGAGGATTTAAGCTAAATATATTTTAAAATTAAAAAGAAAACAATGTTTTAACAAATCTTACTGATAGACTACGGGACTTCAGTGAAAGTTACTTTCGCCACGAAATGTTTCTACTAAAACCAGGTTTTTTTATTATATAATAAAAAATAATAGGAATGTTCTATGTATTTATTTATTTAATATTATTAATATTTGAACACATAAATATTGGTATAAAGAGGCACCAAAAACATATGCACCACGCAAGTCGCTTGATTCGTATATGGGCTATGACGTTATCGGGGTGCCCAAACTGAATCAGGTGGTTTTCTTAGGTGGCCACGACCGGAGCCTTTGACCTAAAGGTCTAATCCACAAGGCAGTGGAGCGACGTATGAAGATACAGTCTCACGGTAACCGGTGACCAATAATTGGTTAGTATGCCGACTGTTCCTTCAGGGTACTGGGGACCATGTGCACCACTGGTTTGCAATCAGGGTTTTCTAATTCCCCTAGGTGAATCCTCTGTATCCACCAACCCCGTTAAAGCACCAGACATTCGCTTTTCGTCCTCTTAATTTCGTAAACAACACTCCTAGTGCGAGGAGGCAGTGAGTGGGACTTCCCTGGCAGAGGCTATATACGCGTGGCCATGTGAGAGCAGTTTGGGAGAGAGAGAGAGAGCTAACTTCCCATACTCTCAGCCGTAGTACCATTGTGGGCAATATTCTATACTTAATTCATGAACTACCGCCTCAGAAACATCATGTTAAATTTTCGGGATAATTAGTCATGCACAAAATGCTTCAAATACGTAAAAAAAAAGCCTACTTTTTCCAGAAAGTACCTAAATATGAGTTAAATTTTAATTTTCGAACCACTACAGATCATTAGTTTTCGCACGTAATAAAGGATTATGGGATTTTTATATTATTATAGAAAAAAATGACTGTGATATTATGAATGAACTTTTATTATACATATAGCATAACAAACAATTATTAATTTTGATAATTCCATCTAGATTGGAAGAAAAATGTGACTACTAAAGTTAAGTGTATGTAGTGACACAGTCTTCAGAAGTTTCGATTAGCTTTTGCCAACATGTGTCACTTGTGGCACACGCGAGACATCCGTCTACTAGCCAAAGATCGGATTTACTGCTCAGCAGTTCGTCCTGTCTTACTTTATAATTGTGAAACACGGTCGGTAAGAGTAGGGGATATTCGTCGGTCATTAGTATTTGATCATACGTGTCTTCGAAGCATTGCTCGTATATCCTGGGATCACAGAGTAAGTAATGCAATTGTTAGGAAACGGTTACTAGGTAAGGATGGCAAATCGATTGACGAAGTAGTAAAACTTCACCAGTCGAGATGACTGGCACACGTGTTGCGTGTGGCGAGACGATAGCAACCGACTGTTAGGGATTGTTATATCTCGAAGAGAATTATGGACGGTAACTTTGAGAACTATTTATGGATCAAAACTATGTGTATATATAGTATAACTGTATAACTGTTAACTAAATAAACTATTCATATTCGCGTCCCTCTTATTATAAGCTTTATTTTGACCCATTTTATTTATTTATTTAAACACATAAATATTGGTGCAAGGGGGCACCAGATATATATGTGCCGCGCACGACAATGAAAATGGGAAGAGAAAGGGGTAAGATGCCTATAAAAAAAGAAAAAAGCAATGGTGAGGGAAACTGAAATGTACAACCAGAAGAACTCTCGTAGTTAAGGAGGTTGTAACCACTCTTTATGCAGAAAGTAAAAGAAGGTTACAGCAGGATCGCCATTGGCTTCTATTCTGACCCATTTCTGATAACGTCTCTAGCCACTGTGTAGCACCATCTCTCGGACACATGGGCTATTATCATACGATTTACCATTCTTGAGTTACACCCAGTCTATTAATTACTGTTCTTCCTATTCACAGTCACATTTAGCTGAATCTTGTACAAATGTTATTTTCTATTTTATGGTACGATGTGGTCTGCTCGATTGGTATATAAACTCAGTATGTTTGAAATATAATGATTCATATTGCAGAGACTGTTATTGGTGTTCTGGACTTGACAGGCTGGGCTAAGTAGATAGTAGGACCGACAAGTGCTCTAGATTGCTCGTACGGGTTTCGTGTCACTGGTCCGACCAATAAATCTCTCATTGGCGGGAATCATCACGTCATATATTACGTGGGCACGCAAACAGGCAACAAGTTATAATAGGGACCTTGAATGGCATTACTCCAACTCGTTTGTAATAACAAAGGTGCATCGACCTTTGTGTTCTCCCAAATTCCAATACAAATGCAAACACTAATAACCAAAGTGATAAGTATAATCAATTGAAGAATAAAATAGAGAAAAGCATGTCCTGTGTAGTCAAACTGGAAAAAAACAAAAAAAGAAATACATAAAGAATCAACTTACCTAGTAAGGTATGATGGTGAGAATTTGGATGACTGAAGCAATTTGTTTCCCAAACTGAAATTTGTATATAACCGTAGAGAATTAGTCAAATGACTACAAAGATTCATTTGAATGCCTAAAATTGAAAAAAAATAAACCAATTCTTGTTATTGAGATAGTAGAAAGGAAGGCCCAGGACAGAGAGGGTGGGAGAATGCTGGCTGGCGGCCTATGCTCCATTAGGAGTAACAGGCGTAAGTAAGTGTTATTGAGATAGATTAAACAGTTAATAGATTGTTAAAGTTTCATTAATTGAATAGAATATTCATTATAAAATAACGATGAAGCATTTCATTAGTCAAGATATGATTAAATGTTACGGACAATTGGAAAAGATTAATTCCATGTGTTTTCTCAAACACCGATCGTTTAAGTCATTCCTTATCATGTCACAAAGAATAAACTAATTTCACCCAGTGGCAAATTGTCAATGATTCAAAGTAGCTTCTGCGATTGAAGTTTTCTAACTAAACGTTCTGATTAAAACTGATTTGATTGGTACACAGCAGGAGCTGTGTATTGATAAACATGTTGTTCAAATGTGTACCATAAGTACCCTAGTTATGTACATTTTAGTCTTCCATTTTCTGTGTATAACCGGATGATTTTTGAAATTTGAGTAAATTAGATGATCTTCTTAGTATTCTAATATGCAGGAGCGAATTTAATCAGTGTTATAATCAAATGTTGAGTATATTCACTAACTGGGCTATTGGATATAAAGTTGGGATAAGGGAAGAAAAATCATAAGAGTATGGTATATAGTTTATCCATTATATCAATACTGGCCTACAACCACTAGATTAAAATGCTAGACGTACATACAACTCAATCATTGTTAATATAATGAACATATTAGTCGACAGTAAACAGCTCTAATAATAAAAATACCACAGAATAAGTTTTGCAAACGTAACAAGAGACGAACTAGAGGGATCATATCATTCACTGAAAAGCATGTTAAGTAAAGCTGTACTATACTACAGAACGACCTTGGGACCTTACCACTTTCAGTCAACCAGAAGACAGTAGAGAAAAATAATTTATTATGGCACGATGAAAGGTTAGGATTCTGGAACTGTAGGCGATGTCAGTTCTCAATGAGAGCCTTAACAGTAACCCTAGATTCTATTTCAAAACAAGACATTTTTACCTAGCCACTAGAAATCTATCTTTATTAGCCTATATTTCACTGTTGAATGTCTCTCGAAAACTGAGAGCTGGTTAACGGAAGTGAACTGAAATTCAGTCATAGCCCGGATACGAATGCAGTGGACGTGTTTCTATGTTATTATGTACAACCTTGCCACATAATGACTAGAAAGTGAGATTAACAATAACGAAAAGACCGAGGGCTACACACATTGTTGCATAGGCAGAAGAATGGTTTAAATTTTTTCTCGTTGTCGTTTTCTAAGGGAGGGGGTCGCTGACCCCATACCCAACCCTCCCCCCTTACCCAGGCTTAGGACCTGCAAAAGCTTTAGAAGGGCAACAGGGGAAAAGTAAGATCCTGAAATACAATGCAGAGAACAATAACGCAATCATACTTGGCAAAGAAGCTCTGGAAAGTTTTGCGTACCTGAGTAGGATCATTGATAAACTAAGAGGACCTGATGCAGATGTAATGACAAGGATTAGCAAAGCAAGGACAATATTCCTACAGTTGAAGAACATATGGAAATCAAAACATCTATCAACCAATATGAAAGTCAGAATCTTCAATGCTAATGTCAAGACAGTTTTACTGTACGTAGTTGAAACTTCGAGAACTACTACAAACATTATCGAAAAAGTACTCATAAACAATTGTCTACACAAGATACTCAATATCTGTTTACCGGATACAACCAGCAACGGCTTGCTCAAGACAGATTTCGATTGAGAATGCTAGGGGATGGCGTAAGTAAAACAAAAGTAGACGGAGATTGGTTGTTTCTTTAGGTAGACCAGTAGATAATATGACAGGAATATGAAGTATCATAGACATTTTCCTAAACTTTGTACTTACTCAGTTATCGATTATTACAAGTGCTAGACCGGCTAATTACGTGCTTTGATTTGAGTTGTGTTAATGCGTGGTAGACTAGTTCCTGGCTAAACATCTAATATATATATATATATATATATATATATATATATATATATATATATATATATATATATATATATATATATATATATATATATATATAGTAAACCATATGTGCAGTAAAATCGTTAATAATTCGTTCAGGGCAAACTAGAGCGTCATTAGTATTCAGAAGTAATTGAACATTATTTTCAGAATAGGGGTTTGTGGAGATTGTAATAATTTAATAATTGAATTCATGAGTCCATTTAGGCTAGACCACCATGGAGAATGTGAAAGCACTGGATGGTCATTTCATCATAGTATGGAACTCCTCAGCAGTACGCGAAAGTCTTCGGTTCCAGTTCCGCTTGCGGAATAATTGATGAACACTGCCGAAGAGTCCCTTACTAGGACACTATTTTAACATATGTAAACAATACGCATGTAAACATCTTTACATTTATGGTAAGAGAGATGGATAGTAGCTAGCAGTAGAATCCAGGACGCGCGACACTTCGTCCTATTTGCGCTTCGTCAGCTGGATGTACCTGAGTTGATGTTCACTCTGGGATTTGAACCCAGTAACTTTCGCTTCAAACACCATCGCGTTATCCACTCGGCCACTGAATCCTGATAGCCAAACAAACAATACTAAGTGTATCTTTACATTTAATAGCGTGATTCAAACAAATTTATAACAGAAACATACTTAAACAGAAACAAAAAACAAAGACTGAATTTACGGTCAGAACTTATATTTGATTTTTATCTTTACAAATATAAATATGATAATGTTATATACAATTGCCAAGTACAAAACAATCTGAAATATGGAATCTACTTATTTCTATGGTAATGTAAATGATAAATAACTCATGAAATTAGTTTCATATGAATAAAGATAAAAAGAAAAAAAAAAGAATAAAGAGGCAAAAGTTCAACCAGCTACATGACTTTTAGGCAGTAAATGATGTAATCGATGCTGATTTATATCTGAAGAAATTGTAGTAGTATATGCTAAATCTAATATCTGTGGTATAATCCTAGTTTGTATCATTGTTTTATCAACATTAGGTAAAGATATACGATGGAATAAACCATTCTTTTTAGCATCTTCCATCATTTGATGACGATTTTTTATATACAATGGATCATAATGATGTCGAAGTAAACCTGTGACAAAACTAGTGAAATCTTCACGATGGATCATTTCAGTCCATTGATTAATTAGTTTATTTGGTATATATTCATTTAAACTATTTATAATAAAAAAAAGAAACTAAATGAAGTAAAGTATTAAATGAGACAAATACAATGTTATAAAAAGTCATCTTTTCACCTAAAGACATTAATGTAATCCAAAAGTAAATACACAGCGCGATATTACAAGCCCTGTAGACCACAAATGCGCTGGTACGGTCGAGAATGGGAAGAGTCAGCTTTCTCTCTGTCTCTCAAAATGCTCTCTCATGGCCATGGGCATACAACCACTATCGTAGAATCCTACTCACTAAATTCTCGCGGCATTACTGTTGTTTACGAAATTGAGAAGACAAAAAGCGAATGTCCGGTGCTTTAACTGGGTCGGTGAACACGGAGAGTCCACCAAGGGAAGTTGGAAAAACCCTGATTCCGAACCAGTGGTGCACATGGGCTCCAGGATCTCAAAGAAACAATTAGCGAATGAACCAATTATTGGTCACCGGTTACCGTGAGACTGCATCTCCTAACGTTGCTCCACTGCCTTGTGGATAGGACCTTAAGGTCAAAGTCTCTGGGTGTGGCCCCCTAAGAAAACAACCTGCTTCGGTCTGCGGACTCGGGCAGTATCTCAGCCATCCCACAAATCGAACGGGAAGCAGCATCAGGGCTTCCAGATACACGAAGCATGAAACGAGTTGGTTCTTTATTTTGACATGGTGAGGTCAAATGAATGACGCTACTCGGATCCTGTATGTGCGATGAGAGGTGATAAAGGGACGTGAGAAGGGTTAGTTGTGGAGGTGAGAGTTATAAGGTGTAAGAAAGGTTTGATTGTGATCAACTTGGTTCCTTGTGTTGTTATGGGTGTGACGGCTGATATCACTTTTCGGCTGCCCACACCGTAAAAGGGTATTTCTTGAGGAACCTAAACACCGAGTTGGATTAGTGTCGGTCTTAATGACCTGAGAGCGTGACCACAGAGCCCAAGGGACAACTGCTCGAGGGCGATTGCATACGGCCTTTTTGTGGGAGGTTTTTGACGCGTTAGCTCGGCTCTTCAAAGGTAAGATGAGGCGTGACATTTTTAGGTCGATCTTTTCTAAACCCCTCCTTCATTGTGAGTAGGCAGCATCGCTGCAGATGCTGGTTGTTCGAGGAAAAGACCTTACTTCTGTCACACCTCTCTACAGTCAGCAGTACTACTTTGCCCTCGGACCTTGAGTTGCTACTTTGAATCATAACGTCCTCCAATCGACCTACCTGGCATGTCAGAACATACAAAAATATACGTTCCAGCCAATATAGCTCGGTTGGGTCATCGCGATAGGCAAGCCCGACCACCACGTCAAAGTAGCATCTACGGATAGGACATCCGTAAAGAAGGACGAAGCGAACTTCTGTATGGTAAACTCGTCCTTCGGTTGGAAGACGGATATCTCGCTTACATCACAAGTGATGAGAGATGGCAAAGGACAAGCGGACTTCTGGAATCTATGCTGAGATTTTGTTAGACAACAACCAATCAGAACTGATGAGATTTCCAAGATAAAGGAAGCAATAAACGCACTCAACTACTTCGTACTTGTCACTAATTAGATGCTGATGCAGACCAGTGCCGTAGCAATATTTTTCATCTAGAGAGGGAAACACATCCCGAACATGCTTGCATTATTACTTAAGGTGGTCAGAAGATTCTGAATTTCGTCAGTGCCTTCACCAAACAGAACTATATCATCTGCGTTACTGAGAAAACAAGAGAATTGTTACTTCACACAATCAATACTCACCTTTTGAGAATAGCTAAAATTTGTGGAACATTCCGAGTAGCAGTAGAATAATTTTCTAAAATCCAAGCAACTCTTGCTTCTTCTGTAATATCAATCCATATTCGATGGGTTCCAACATTTGGATCTGTAGATCTTAATCGTGACCATAAACCATCAGATAACCCACAAACTGGTCCAACATACCGTGATTCACATTCAATCCATAAAATATTTTTGCAGGAAGATAATCGATGCTTATTTGTCATTATTACATGATGAAGTTGAGATTCAAAAAACTTTTGTGGACTTCCTTTATTGGTAGTGCTTTGATGATAGTTAGTGTCACTATCTGATAATACATTACCACCACCAAACATTGAACCTTTATGTTTAGCTAAAGCTTCTAGATCGAAAACGGTTTCACCATAATTGTGTAACTCTTGAAGTATCAAAGATTTCCCGGAACCTTTTATGTGATCAATAAGCGAAGAAAGAAATGGGAAAAAATTAAACACTCTCGTATACATAGTTCCTTGTACTAGCTTAAAGAGATCAGGGAAAAAAATTTAAGTAGGATAACACGAATCCTTTTTATGTCATTAATTTCTTGTCAAACTACACCTGCAGCCATTCTAGGGTTACTCCCGTTCCCAAAATCTGGTAAAGGAGGAGGATTGATCATAGGGTTATCAATCCTATCCCATGAAATGTTTATGGCTACGAACCTACTGGATATCAAATTTAGAACATGTATCATTGACAATACAGAGTCAAATTTCATTTCAAGATATACGTCAGTTGTTATAAATCCTCAGTTGAACGTTTACAGTTGAAGGTATAAACTGGAATTCCGCAACAAAATGCACATTCATATGTTTAGTTATACATCGAACAACTTAAAAACCCATCTGGTAATAATACACGACCGCTTAATAATAATACACATTTCTTACACACTTGAAGATTAAAAACGTAACGCTCATAAGGTATTAAAAGTTGTATCGTTCTACAATCAATCACCAGAAACACATATAACATTTCTATTAAGACAGATAACACCAATCTAACAACTTACCAGTAAGACCAGATATGACCCAAAACGGACTAAGTATAGACCAACGTGGCCATGCATCTAACTGACGAAGTAGAAGTCTACGCCAAGAACGATATCCACCAACAAGTGCATATATATTGCCTGGCCAGCCTACTTCAGATAATATAGTTGCTAAAGAATTAGATCTTTGACCGCCACGCCAACAGTAAATAAAAAAATCGGGATATTTTATAACTTTTCTGTTTCCCGTAAAGTGATGATTTACAGGAACCGAATTGTCTAGTTGTAAACCATATTGGTAAGCAAGTTCTTTCAAACAACGACTAATATTGGCACAGACCAGAGATGCACCATAAAGGCGAGCTTGAACACGATCTTCTATGTGTATTGGAAAAACAACAATGTACAAAAAATATTCTGAAATTTATATAATTTTTAGCTGAAAGAAATTTACACTAAGATAATTCCAAAGGTTTAAGTACAACAGCAAGAGTTCTGGATTGTTTTTTTTTTACTACCAATGTTGTACAACGTTCTTCTTCCACATAATAAAATTACCGTTCACCGGCTCAGTAGTCTGCTATTCAAGTGCTCGTGAGACCAAAGGTTCCGGTTAAAATTTCTGGTTGGGACGTGAATGTATATTGTTTAAGAGTCTCGTACCAGGACTAGACAACTTTTAAGTGCTTCCTGGTTTTTGGTAGTCACACCAAAAAATTAATGGATGATGCATCCTATGGAAATACAATAACATCGACAAACCTCCTATAGTAATAATAGTCATGTGCTTACGCGTGACTTACTTTGATATGTATTTCCAATAGTCCTAGTGAGAAGTCATGACCAGCATGGTTCAACTATGTTGCGCATGAGCCAATGATCCGATGCAGTTGACGGGAGATAGTCGAGCGATATCGCCTACTGATTGTAGTTATATATATAAACCATTAGACGCAGAGTTCAGCTGTCTGGATTAAAAGCACCCAAAGACTCGTGTTAAATCTCTTGCCCAGAAGTCCTGAACGCACACACTTGAGGACAAAACAGGTGTCCATTAGTCCATAATTTAGGGTAATAGTTATATGCCTAAGATCAATGAGTAATGCAATCTATGACAACTAATGTTCAAATCACTAAGATTGTATTAAAAAGTCAAACAATTGAACTATCAAGATTGACTTATAACAGCGTACATATATATTAACCTCCACACATCCATTTACTTGGTAACTGTGAAAAAGATTTATACACACTATTTTCAGCCATAATTTAGAAACTATTGTCACCAGTGGACTGTCCAAATTTCAAGAAATGAGGTAATCTGAACCAAGAATTCAGGAGACATTAGGAAGGGAGAATGTATTTGTAAGATTTCAGTGAACGAATTTGAAGTAATAAATCCAACAGTCCATTTGCCAATCTGAGGAATATAATCAAACATCAAAGTTCTTATATAAAGAATTCAGGAGAGTTCACTTTAATATTGAGTTTTCCATACAAATAATTAATGTAGTAGCTTACCTTGATTGTATAAACGGCCAACGATTGCTCTTTCTTCATTATTTAAAATAGGAATATTTATTGCTCCATGAATGTGATCTTCATTAAATTCATCAGGACTTCGTACATCAATAATGATTGGCTTTGATATAGGATCGGAAAATAAACTTGACCATGTGCAACAACCTGTAGGACCTGATTCCGGTGGAGGGGGTATAGTTGGATGCCATGCGTCATGTGTAGCATATGGTTCATGAATCAAGGTCACCAATTTGAAAGATTTCTTTGGTCTGCTAGTAACACATGAACTTAAAAAGGATTTTGGCTGTTGATTGGCTATAGGTAAGGAAACTCGATTACCATAAAATAAACATAGGTGGTAACACCAAGACGAACGATTGAAGTGATGTATCTATTCCAAATAAAAAGTTGAGTTATAACCTAATGCATACAAATTACCGGAACGTCAAACGCAAAAATAAACCCAATACCTGTTCGTTTAATGTAACACGAAGCTAGACAATCGTACCAAGTGTTCCAACCATAAATCACTTTTTCTAATCGTATCTAGGTACATCAGTAATTGTGAAAGCATTCTTAATCTTCTGTAATAGGTACCTAACCATCTTACGTTACAAGTTTTTCATTCATTTAGCCACATCAGTTTGTAGATGACTATCAGTAAAGTTAGGATTAAGAGTACTTTGTTGTACCCAGCAAATACGATTACAGTAAATTGAAACAAATATTTTGTTAAAATCAAATTCATGTGAACACAATTTTACCTAACAGAGAACAAAACAAAAATAACCATAATCATTCGAATGTCGCAGACCACAGGGAAAAGGTACAATGGAAATAAATATTGTTGGTTCTTAACTGAATATGGAAAGGTTGATCAGTCATTTAAGGACTTAACTTTTAACCACGAAACCACAGGTTGAAGCCAACTTTCACTTATCAAGTAGTATCACTAGCCCTTAAAGGAACAAAGTTGCTTGAGGTTTGGTAAATAAACCAGTACTTAGTCAATGAGTTACACTATTAGAGCTGACAAACTGTAAGACAATGAGTGGTACATAAGAATTCTTTCAGTTCCTTACAAACACTTCATACAGTAGAAAATATGAGGATGCCTCAAGTACAAAAGCCACAGAAGACGAGGTTTCAAAATAACTTTCCTGAACAAATAACAATTTCAGTTATGTTCACATACAGACAGGACCAAGAGAAAATAAAGTTATGAGGGCAGTAATAATTAATCATTTTTAAGATGAAGTTAAGTGAAACAAGTATACGGAAGACCTATACATACTGAAGCATCATACAGTAAAACTATAACAGCCAAAATAGCTTTCGCAATACACTATTATACATTTGACTCGCATTGCGAATGCCCCAAAATACACCAATAGGAGCGTGATGTTAAGACAAGTTCATCTTAAAAGCATATAAAACTCCGAATTTGGAAGGCTTAAATCACAAATACAAACACCAATCAACTGGTAATATGTAATTTGCGGAAACTATACCTCAAGCGATAATACGATGAATTAAAGATTGAAGGTTACAGCGTCAACGCACATACGTTTTTGAAGGCATTTCAGTTCCAAAGTTAAACAAGAATGATGAAGGCGAATACGTCTACCTACATCCCCTACCAACATGGAAACGATGGAAAAACATGTAGTTACATATTGTAACACCTACTCAAAGAAACTATAGACAATTGAACCAATCTACATAAACACCTAAACAATAATCGTAAACATACATGAGATAAACTCATAACATTCTAGTGAGGTTTTCGTTACTACAGGTTCAATATATTCAGTTATATAACCAACATTATGGGATTCGACAATCATCGCTTTATTGGTTGAAGTTAGAATAGTGAATCAGTGGATTCTGATGCAGTACCTTAAATAATGGTAAAACGTACTTAAAGCATTAGAAGTCAATTCCTGATGAGGTTGTGGATGCCCGTTGTCGAGAACTCTCGAGTACAGAAGAAACGGCTCTCCCTAGTAGAAATTAATCCATGAAGAAAAGTATTTTTACAACTAATTAAAAAGGCTATATGAATTATTTTATCCATGATTTTCAAAATGTAAATGAGCTCATCCAAAAACGCATTAACGAACAAGCACTTGGTAAGCCGATCATAAAAAGTTGTTGGATATACATATATTAACAAAGGAATTTTTCGTAAGCCGTCAGTTAGAACATAGCCTTCTCTCTTATTTATAGCAGTTTAAACCAATCTAATGAAATACAATACAAATAAAGGGACCTAGCTGAAAATATATATTTCATTTCATAACTGGCATAAATAGTTAAATGTCATCGGACAAACGAACACTGTTGAATGAGAAGTTATTTGTGACAATGTACTACAGTGGGATGGGTTTCAAGGATCCTATTCAAAACTAGCTATGGCTCAGTCATCCTTAAATTTCGAAAGCTAAACATTTAGAATGGTTCCAAATTGTAGTGGGGTCAAATTGATGCCCAGCTTCGGAGAAAGTAACTGTTTAGTAACTCTAGATGATAGATTGTTCATTATCGAACTGTGGAGAAACGCAGAGAGGAAATAAAACAGTGAGACAATACATTTATCTATAAATCATCATTATTATTTAAAAACATGAATATTGGTACAAGGAAGCACCAGATACATATGCGCCACACAAATTATTCGATATGTGTGAGGGCTGTGATACTGCCCAGGTGCCCAAACTAAATCAGGTGCTTTTCTTAGGGGGCCCCACACCCGGAGCCTTCAACCTGAATGTCTAATCCATAAGGCAGTGGAACAACGTTGGGAAATGCAATCAGAGGGTAGCCAGTGACCACTAACTGGTTCATACGCCATTTGTTTTCTCAGGATCTTGGAACACATGTGCACCATTGGTTTGTAATCAGGGTTTCCCAACTCCTCTAGGTGGACTCTCCGTGTCCACCAACCCAGTTAAAGCGCCGGACATTCGCTTTTCGTCCTTTCAATTTCGTAAACAACGCCACCGCCACGAGAAGGCAGTGAGTAGGACATAGAGGTATAAGTTTGGTGAATAATAGTAAAACGCTCTGAATTCTTGCTCTTTTTATCTCATATTGAAATTATGCTGCGATTTAACACTGTCCGTGAATTCGGACTGAGGAAAATAACTAATGTCTAAGAATAACGCAAAGTCAAATACTTATTTTACTACAAAGAAACATCAGCAGCTATTAGATCAAAATTAATGTTATATTGAATGCAAAACTAAGTGAAATAAGGATAGTTGTTAGGTGATGTTTCATTCTCGATGTAATGTTGGCACAATGATGAGATCGTATAGAATGAAACAATAATGAAAGTGTTTTCACAGTTGAAATCATGAGTCAATTGAAGCTAGACCACCATCGAAAACCTAGAAGCACTAGACGGCCGTTTCGTCTTATTGTGAGACTCCTCAGAAGTGCGCATCCACGATCCCGCACTCACGAGATTCGAACCCAGGACCTACCAGTCTCGCGCCAGATCACTTAACCGATAGACCAGTGAGCCAGCATCTAACAGTGAGTGAGGGATCGTGGACGTGCACTGCCGAGAAGTCCCATAATAGGACGAAACGGCCGTCCAGTGCTTCCGGATTTTCCATGGTAGTCTAGCTTCAATTGACTCATGATTTCAACTATGAAAATACTGAAATCTCCACAAAACCCCTTCTGATCAATAATGAAAGTATCCAAAACTGACTTTAAGTCTAGTAATAATGAGGCATCAACAAATTATGTGTACTGGAAATCATTACACCTATTGACTTGAAAACATACAAATTCAAAAGAATATCAACACCCAGATCGCTTAAAATACATAAGTGATAGGAATCTTTTTGTAAACATAATAGAATAAATTAATTTACGAAAGGGTTAATTATTCAATGCAAAGCGGGATAACTACGTTCAACACTGTAACATTCAATAATCCATGCATAATTTTTTATGAACAAACAGATACACTTTGAACTTTATAGGTATAAACATAAACTAAATGTTAATCGGAAAACACCACCACCCCCACAGCAACAACAACATCAGCTATTTTGGAAAATTACTTTCAAACATCTAACATAAACATTCTCATGAATAGAAAAACAAAAAAGAAAAGTCGCCATGAAGTATCAGTTCAAAAGACAAAAACCGAAACACACAAACAACGTTATATTTACTATGACAACTAAAATAACCATATCACAAAGATACAAGAAATAATAATGATAATAATAATAATACATTTTATAATATAATAATCATGTTATCATCAATAAATAGTTGGCTTCAATGAGATTAATTCAGAGCGACCAAATTATTTGCATTATTACTTATCATCCAATTGAAGCTTTATAGATAATGTTCTAGGTGTTGTAATATCACTAACATGAATGATTTGACCATTAATAAGACCAAGTTCTACAATAACAAAAAATATATAAACAACCGAATATATGCATACTGTAATACAATTCAATGATGTTTACACACACAAAAATATTTAATTTATTCCGAATATTATTAAAACATGAAGATATATAAAAAAAGCCCCCTAATGCCCTGGTACGGCCGAGAGTGAGGAGAGTCCGCTCTCCCTCTACAAATGCCCTTACATGGCCACGCGTATATATCCTCTGCCCGGGAAGTCCTACTCACTGCCTTCTCGCACCACGGACGAAAAGCGAATGTCCGGCGCTCTAACCGGGTTGATGGATTTATTATTATTATTATTATTATTATTATTATTATTATTATTATTATTATTATTATTAGCTTTATTCAATATTATATTATTTGGTACAAAATCGAATTCTCAGCATAAAGTATTTCAACATGTTTACGTTTCTTATTTCTTCGTTGCTCCTGATGAGAAACATTCAGTGATCGCCAGTTGGATGTCAGCAGTTCGGTCAATCAACATATGAATAATGTATATTCTTTTTGCAGCATGTTCCCAGCAAACACGACATCTCTGATTAGGCCTTTTGTAACTTTTACAGCGAAAGGTTGTACAGTTTTCAGAAACGCACCGGAATAGGTTGTGTGCTTAATAGCCATAATTATGTATTAAAACAAACAATATTAGATAACTTGTTGGAATATGTAGATGACGGGAAACAGGTAGCCCAGATGTTTAAGCAGGCCGCCTTATTTGGAGAGTCCACCTAGAAGAATGAGAAAACCCTGATTCCAAACCACTGGTGTACATGAGTCCAGTATCCTGAAAGAACAAATGACGTATGAAACCATTGTTGGTCACCAGCTACCATGGGACTGCATCTCCTTACGATACTCCACTGCCTTGTAGACCCGACCTTTAAGTCAAAGGCTCCGAGTGTGGCCCCCCTAAGATAACCACATGCTTCAGTTTGGGCACCCAGACAGTATCACAGCCCTTATACAAATCAATTGCGATTTGTGCGGCGCATATTTATCTGGTGCCTCCTTGTATCAATATTTATGCGTTTATTTATACGTTTCTTATTTCTTCGTTGCTCCTGATGAGAAACATTCAGTGATCGCCAGTTGGATGTCAGCAGTTCGGTCAATCAACATATGAATAATGTATATTCTTTTTGCGGCATGTTCCCAGCAAACACGACATCTCTGATTAGGCCTTTTGTAACTTTTACAGCGAAAGGTTGTACAGTTTTCAGAAACGCACCGGAATAGGTTGTGTGCTTAATAGCCATAATTATGTATTAAAACAAACAATATTAGATAACTTGTTGGAATATGTAGATGACGGGAAACAGGTAGCCCAGATGTTTAAGCAGGCCGCCTTATTTGGAGAGTCCACCTAGAAGAATGAGAAAACCCTGATTCCAAACCACTGGTGTACATGAGTCCAGTATCCTGAAAGAACAAATGACGTATGAAACCATTGTTGGTCACCAGCTACCATGGGACTGCATCTCCTTACGATACTCCACTGCCTTGTAGACCCGACCTTTAAGTCAAAGGCTCCGAGTGTGGCCCCCCTAAGATAACCACATGCTTCAGTTTGGGCACCCAGACAGTATCACAGCCCTTATACAAATCAATTGGGATTTGTGCGGCGCATATTTATCTGGTGCCTCCTTGTATCAATATTTATGCGTTTAAATAAATAAATAATAAACAAGATATATAAACACTTTGATATCATAGTTCTATCATTTAAATGTGATGTTAACTTTGGAATTTCATAGTTAAAGTCATGAGTCAATTAAAGCTAGACCACCATGGAAAACCTGGAAGTACAGGAAGGCTGTTTCGTCTTAGTATGGGACTCCTCAGCAGTGCTCATCCACGATCCCGCTTCGCGAGATTCGAACCCAAGACCTATCAGTCTCGTGCGAGCGAGTGCCTAAACTCTAGACCACTGAGTTGGCCGGCATCCAACGGTGTTAATGTCTTCTACAACCAAACTTTGGAATTATAATAAATAGATCTGAAACAATTAACAGATTTCATAAAACATTGAACTTGAAAATAGATTTAGTATTAAGTTAAACATAGTCTGAACTTTGTAAACAAAAAAAGAACGGAACAAGGGAGAAAGGTGGGCGCAGGGACAATAATTCAATTGGTGTCACCATCTTGAAACACCGACTTCGATGGCTTGGACATGTTCTACAAATGTCGTCCCAGAGAATTCCACGTCGTGCGTTATTTGCCGACTCTGGGACTGGTTGGAAAAAGCGGGGAGGTGGTCAGTGTATGACATGGTGTCGTAGTATGAAAGAAAGCTGCAAAGGACTGGCTTCTATTGGTCCTTCACGACTCCCTGGCTGGGGTAAGAGAGATGGTGCTACACAGTGGCTAGAGACGTTATCAAATATGGCTCAGAATAGAAGCCAATGACGATCCTGCTGTAACCTTCTTTTACTTTTTTCATAAAGAGTGGTTATAACCTCCTTAACTACGAGAGTTCTTCTGGTTGTACATTTTAGTTTACCTCACCATTACTTTTTTTATAGGCATCTTATCCCTTTCTCTTCCCATTTTCATTGTTTTGTGTGGCGCATATACATCTGGTGCCGCCTTGAACCAGTATTTATGTATTTAAATAAATAAATATCAATCAATTTATGAAAATGCTTGAAGTCAAAGAAAAACCGATAAGATTTTCTTAAAACTTTAAACAACTGTAAACTCGGTTAGACGAAAGAATTTTGAATTGAACTGGCAATAAAACAAATATTGAGACAAGATTGGAGGTGGAATTAGAGTAAAGGTTCTTTTTAAAAAAAACTAATGGAAATCAGTAAGTATTGAAATGTAGTTGTGTCTTGCTTTGTAATTATAAGTTCTAGATTCAAAATTTAAAAAGAATATTTATTTTATTTGAACACATAAATATTGGTGTAAAGGGGCACCAGATATATATGCGCCATTTGATTTGTGTGACGGCTGTGATACTGCCCAGGTGCCCGAACTGAAGCAGGTGGTTTTCTTAGGGGGCCCCACACCGTGAGCCTTCGACCTGAATGTCTAATCCATAAGGCAGTGGAACAACGTTGGGAAATGCAATCAGAGGGTAGACAGTGACCACTAACTGGTTCATACGCCATTTGTTTTCTCAGGATCTTGGAACACATGTGCATCAACGGTTTACAATCAGGGTTTCCCAACTCCTCTAGGTGGACTCTCCGAATCCACCAACCCTGTTAAAGAGCTTGATATTCGCTTTTCCTCTTCTGAATTTGGTAAACAACACCCCCGCATCGAGAAAGCAGTGAGTAGGAGTAGTCTGGGAGTGGCTATATTACCCATAACCATGTGAGGGGATTTTGAGAGGGAGAGAAATGACTCTTCCCATCTTTGGCCGTACCAGGGCATTTAGGGACCATAAAAAGAATTGAGGTTAGTAATCAAAAAGATTACTACTAGCACTTCTACGATTGATATCATTTCATGTCAAGAATTATCTTCAAATATATTAAAATCTTCGAAAACACAAGTTGAATCATTGAGATTTATAATAAAAAGGCTACAATTATAAAAATATGATTTCACTTTATTTCATTATGATAAGTAATAGTGAAGTGAGAAAACTTGAATCACTAATATGAGCTTACCTTGAAGGGTTTTAGACAAATTCGGTTTCAATGTATCAACCAATTCTGGAAGATTGATATACAATGAACGATGTTGATCATCAATAATTGTTGTTATACTGGGTGACTGCATTTGACTAGAAAATATGACAAAAATATGAAGTCAAGTGATATATATACATACATATATAATACTGATGAAGCCATTATGTATTACTTTTCATATTCGGAATATTCAAGGACTTACCCACCACTAAATATGCTTTACATATAAAAATGCATTAGCTAAAGGCGCTGATCATTTGATATATGTTTGCATTTACAAGAGATTCACTGGACTGATTACCGATGATAATAAAGAATGTATGTGAAATGTTTGACTAAAAATAACCACTATAAAGTAACAATGTTTTATTCTGTTATGAAGCTGTGACATGTGGTTTTGGAAGAGAGGTACTAAGTAGTCACCGTTCCCATTGCATCGCGCTATAACGGTCGGATTCCCCTTGTCTACACGAATGGGACGTTAATCTTCCTTAGAAGAATATATACACTAGATTCATTGCAAGTGTCTATTCTACACAACTGCAATACAACTTAGATCAGGAACACGTGATAAGCCTGACTAGAATGTAAATATATATTTCCACACCGAAAACCGACAACAAGCCGACGTAATCCAACAACAGTCAATAATAATAAGGATAGGAGAATATATAACTGATCTAATGCCTGTCAGACTATCTACAAGTCTGATCAAGTAAACAACCAATCATTATCATCTTGGCCAACACATCCCAACGGATGTTATCAGAAAAGGGAACGTAATTTAGTTCATGTGACTCTGACGGTGGGACTATAATTTATGGAGGACCTTTGAGCGACGCCAAAGTGACCTTGTGAGTGTCTACCTACTTACTAGGGCTAAATGAGGGTTATAAAGCAGTTTGAAAAATAAGGATTAAGATTCACAGTCGATGGTTAGGGTTAAGACTTAAACTGATGATTTTTCATCACGAACTGACATAAGCTAAAATGCTAAGACTATATTTGGCCAGATGGATGGGTGAATCTCACGCCAAAATCCGTGACCTGTTATCTTGTACCTGATCGGTTCGTTCATAAATTATAGTCTCCCTACTCTGAGATTGGATTGTAATATAGAGTCAGTCATCAACATATCTAATAAACTACATTGATTAGTGCTTCCTTAAGGTAAGATAATAGTGAACATGAATTTGTTAAGATTGTAAACTAAGCTATGATGAGAATTTCATGCTTCCATATGCTTCTACAATAATACATAGAGATATTTAAACACAATTGAGAAGGTATGATAATAAAAAACATGAAACTTCCATAATATAACATTATAGATCTCTCCATTGTCGTTTAGTTTACAAAACATTTTACAATATTGATACAATACTCACAATTCAGGATCTGTCTTCAAAACATTTATAAGATCTCTTAGTGCACAACCAGTCTGCAAACGAAGAGTTCGAGGCACATTGTTACAGGCAAGACAATCAGCCTACGGTGAGTTTTCAAAATAGAAAATTTCCAACAATTTAATTAAGCACTAACAGAAAAAATGCTGACCATAAATAATCGAAATAAATAAATATAATAAGTTTAATCGATCCATGATCTAACACAACACTTCACACATTTTTTTGAGGTGGATAACTGTTTCCAACCGACGCAGATTGAACTCTAGTGCCCACGGCTTTCACTAGGACAGTTATCCACCGTAGACAATGAATGAAAGGTTATGCAAGATCATGGATCGATTGAAGTTAGACACTAAAACCATTGGATGCCGAGTTAGTGGTCTAGAAGTTAAGTATTAGCACGCGAGGTCGAGGGTGCTGGGTTCCAATCTCACATGAATGATCGTGGATGCGCACTGATAAGGAGTCCCATACTAAGACGAAACAACTATCTAGTGCTTCCAGGTTTTCATTGGTGGTCTAGCTTAGATCAATTAATCTATTCAAGTATTAAAATTACTACAATCTCCACATATCTCCATCCTGAAAATATAATAACTGTTCATTGAAAATTATAAGAAAATATCAAAGGATCGTATTGTCAAATTTAATAATCATTACTTGAATAAAACTGGAACCATGTAAATAAATTAGCTACACAGAGTTCTTATTATTATCTTGAAGTAAGCACTAATAATGTGAATCATTAACAGTCTTAACTGTCATATCGACCACTTTCATGGTTGACTTTGAGTAAATATATCTTCTTTATTCTTAGTATTGCTTCAGTTTCACAAATTTCCAGTGAAAAAATTCTTATATACAATTTTTATTTCTATTTTCTAAAATCATGTTAACTAATACCTGAAGATATTCGAAGAAAAAATTTCTGCGTTGTATGAGCAAGCTTCCCTGAGGAGAGGGAGGGTAATGAAAGGAGATACTACTCATTATTGTAAAGGATAAGACGCGCATCCTTATTTATTATCAATAGATAAGTAAATCATCTTCAAAACTGTATGGCAGAGAACTTGAACATATTGATTGATTTGATCTCGTAATACTATGCTATGATTTTTTCGAACCTTACTTAACAAAAACTTATTCAACACAATTATATTTACCTTTATGAAACACTTTTGAAAAAGCAGACATAATCTCTAGATATTTTAAAAATACATAATAAGGTTTTAGTAACCCATAATATAAGTCAAAGCGTAAAAGTCTTGAGTATGGTTAGAGGTATGAGGGAAGTTATCACTTCCCGGTTGCCCACAACGTGGAAGGGTTCTTCTCGGGGTACCTGAAAAGGGAATTGGGTTAGAAGTGGTCTTAATGACCCGAGAGCGTGACTTGAACCTTAGGGCCATGGGTACATATAACACAGTCATACAAAAAAGTAATTCAACTGAATAAGCAAATATGAACACACAACAAGCATTTAATTTGTGGCCCCCAAATGCCCTGGTACGGCCGAGAGTGGGAAGAGTCTGCTCTCCCTCTCGAAATGCCCTCACATGGCCACGCGTATATAGCCTCTGTCAGGGAAGTCTTACTCACTGCCTTCTCGCATCACGGGTGTTGTTTACGAAATTGAGAGGACGAAAAGCGAACATCCGGTGCTTTAAACGGGTTGGTAGACACGGAAATTCCGCCTAGGGGAGTTGGAAAACCCTGATTCCAAACCAATGGTGCACATGGGCTCCAGTAATACCCTGAGAGAACAAATGGCGTATGAGCCAATGGTTGGTCACCGGCTACCATGGGACTGCATCTCCTCACGATGCTCCACTGCCTTGTGGATCAGATCTTTAGGTCAAAGGCTCGGAGTGTGGTCCCCTAAGAAAACCACCTGCTTCAGTTTGGGCACCCGGGCAGTATCACAGCCCTCATACAAATCAAATGAGATTTGTGTGGCGCATATGTATTTGGTACCTCTTTGTATCAATATTTATGTGTTCAAATAAATAAATTTAATTTATGACTTCAAATCCGAAGAGAGATGGTGAAACACAGTGGCTGGAGACGTTATCAGATATGGCTCAGAATAGAAGCCAGTGGCGATCCTGCTGTAACCTTCTTTTACTTTCTTCATAAAGAGTGGTTATAACTTTCCTAACTGAAAGAGTCTTCTGGTTGTACATTTCAGTCCGCCTTATCTTTTCATCCCTTCTCTCCCTACTTTCATTACTTTGTGTGGCGCATATGTATCTGGTGCCCTTTTGTACCAATATGTATGTGTTTAAATAAATAAATAATAAATATCAAAGAAAAGCAATTAGAATCACTTACTTTGCGTTCAACAGAAAAACCATAGGTATAAACTCCATCAATATCACTGAAATTCATGTAATTATCCAAATAATTGTAACAGAATGTGATTAGTTTGAAGACCTATGACAAGAAATCATTGTATTCAGAGGACTGAAATTGGAATCATGGGCAAATCTAAAATGGCATCATCATATGAATTAGTCACTGAAATTCCATACAGTCAGTCAGTCAGCTACAACGTAGGACCAGGCACATATATGCGTCGGTCCAAGTTGCCATATCTCGTTAGCACAACAATATGAACACTGGATTCATAGAAATAGTTAATTTAGTGGGGGTAGTATATAAAAGATAGGTTGTATATAAGGATATAGTATAGGAAGGAAGAACGTTATGAAGCAATTTTAATCTTAAGGTTTAAGGAAAGATAAAGAGTGTATACACCTACGCCATTGTGATCGATTCTGATCCATGTCACCTAGAGTCTCCAACCATTGGTTACGATAGTCACGCAGCACTCAAGACCACTGTAATTCCATACTCTGATGACTGATTACATAAAGCTATACCGGTTTGATCTGAATTTGTTTTTGGCTGTAACCACAACGATGTGCATACATACATAACACATCATACAGTTAACTGCACAGCTCTAAGCGAACAGTTAGTCCTACTTCAATATTGAAATAAAACTCAACACTTAAATAAAGTGATAGCTGAGTGAAGAGAAAAAAAGAGTGAACATCAACTCTGAGATGCAGGTACGTCAAGCTGACGAGTCCCAAATAGAACGAAACGCGCATCCTGAATTCCACTGTTATCCACTATACATCTTGGCTTATGAAAAGGGAATGGTTGCAAAAACTATAAATTGTTTAAACAAGAATGCTAATTTCTTAAAAATTCTGTTTATAAACAGCCAAAAAAGATTCCCTTTGATTCAGGAAGTTCCCCTCACTCTTAAGAATAATATAAAAGAAAACCAAACCAGGATTGTCACGAGATTTGTCATGACCTCCAGTCCTCGTATATGTCCTTGATCATAATATAAGGCACACCCCACTAATTCTAAGTTATTAAAAAGAATTTATGAAGAAGCAAAATTATGAGATAAAACAACATACAAATCCAACATCATTCGTCAGTATGGGGTTGTGATGATCGGTGAAGTTTACTAAAATTATGAACCGATATAAGCTAGACCACCATTGCAAACCTTGTGGCAATGGGATACCGTTTCTTCTCAGTATGCGACTCGTCAAAAGTGCGTAACCCCAACTTCACATGCGGGAATCGAACCCAAAACGTCTGGTCTCGCACAGGAATATTAACTAGTTACAGTGGGTTGCATTTTATTGGATACCAACACCATAGAAAGAATTTAAATCTACTGATTTAGAAGACCAACCTCAGTTGCACATGCAGCTGCGATTACAGCATTTGTAGAAGCGACAGCAGGGATTATTCGCTTTACAACACCTTGTACAAGACGTAGTGTAACACCTGAAATTCCGAATTGTTTAGCCCTTTCACATGACTTTTCATATATCCATTGTATGTGTTCAGGTGAATCACCGTCGATTGCAACATTATCTGTGAAAATAAAATATGAAAAACAGTAAGAAAAATTACGAGTAATAACAATAATAGCTTTATTCAATATTATGAATTCCCTGGAACGGCCAAAAATGGGGAGAGTCAGTTCTCTCCCTCTCAAAATCCTCTCACATGGTTATGGGTAATATAGCCACTCCCAGGCAACTCCTACTCACTACCTTCTCGTGGGGGGTGTTGTTTACCGAATTGACAAGAGGAAAAGCGAATATCCAGCGCTTTAACATAGTTGGTGGATACGGAGAGTTCACCTAAGGGAGTTGGGAAACCCTGATTGTAAACCGTTGACGCACATGGGTTCCAAGATCCTGAGAAAACAAATGGCGGATGAACCAGTTAGTGGTCACTAGCTACCCTCTGATTGCATTTCCTAACGTTGTTCCACTGCCTTGTGGATTAGACCTTTATGTAAATGGTTCTGTGTGTAGCCCCCTAAGAAAATCACCTGCTTCGGTCTGGACACCCGTGGAGTATCTCAGCCCACACAAATCGAGTGATAACTACTACTGACCTCATTGTTATTATGTGGTGCATATGTATTTGTTGCCTCCTTGTACCATTTTTTATGAGTTCAAATAAATAAATAAATATGTTATAGTACAGAACAAGAAAAAGTTTGCAGGAAAGGTTGAGAATTTTAAAGACTGTAATGACTAAATTATGAATCATGACTGACTGATTGCTACACATCTCAAACATATCCTTGCCGGAACAATAAGACTTTTACGATAGCGCCAATAAACAACGTCGCTTACTTGTTATGAGTCAGACAGAAGTCACCAATATAGAACCTGGTACAGCTGTTTGTTGACACACCGAATTCGCAGGAAAAGATGAAAACATCAAAACATATCAGTTTCAGTATATAATATATATATAAATCATTTAAACTCTGCTCTGGGAGTTGAAGGAAGAATTATGACGCCTCAGGATGAAAACCCAGATCCTTCGGAAGTCACGAGGCCGATGCCCCTTCTAACAACCACAGCAACAATTTTTATAGGCACATGGAATGTCTGGACAATGTAGGAGACCGAGATAACCAGTCAATTAGCAAAGGAAATGAGGAGCTACAAATTGGCAGTACTTGGAATCAGCGAAACCCGTTAGACCCATGGTGGACAGAAAAGGCTAGATATGGGAGAGATACTTTGGTACTCCAGTCCCAGTGAGGAAAATGCTCCACACACTCAGGGAGTTGCTCTAATGCAGTCCATTGAAGCACGAAATGCACTTGTAGGATGGGAATCTCACAGATCTAGAATCATCAAGACATGATTCAAAACAAAGAAGGAGGGGATCACAATGAATGTTATTCAATGTTATGCACCCACCAAGGATAGCAACGACGACGATAAAGATCAGTTCTACGAGAGGCTGCAATCAATCATAGCGAAGTGCTCATGAAAGGACTTGACCATCCAGATGGGAGATCTAAACGCTAGAGTCGGAGTGGATAACACAGGATATGAAGATAAAATGGGACGACATGGACTGGAAGAGAGAAATGAAAATGGGGAGAGACTCGAAAATCTATGTGTGTTCAACAAGTTGGTTATAGGAGGCACAATATTCCCACACAAGCGCATACACAAAGCCACATGGATTTCACCGGACCAAACCACAGAGAATCAGATAGATCATATTTGTATCAACAAAAAATTCCGAAGGACAATAGAAGGTGTGAGAACCAGGAGAGGAGCTGACATAGCTTCAGACCACCACCTGGTTGTGGCCAAGATGAGACTGAAGCTAAAGAAACACTGGACAACTGAACAAACAGCACTACAAAAGTTCAATACAGCCTTCCTTTGAAATACTAACAAGCTCAAAGAATTCAAGATAACGCTCAATAACTGGTTTCAAGCTCTACAAGATTTACTGAAAGAACAAGAAACTACGATGGAGGACAACTGGAAAGGGATAAAAGAAGCACTAACTTCAACGAGTCAGGAGGTTCTGGGTTATAAGAAACATCATCATAAGGAATGGATCTCTATGGGAACCCTGGACAAGATTCAAGAAAGGAAGAACATGAAAATAACAATTAACAGTCGAACACATGCAGAGAAAGTCAAAGCACAAGAAAACTACGCAGAAGCAAACAAGGAAGTGAAGAAAAGCATTATAGGCGACAAGCAGAAATACATGGCAGAACTAGCAACGACGGCTGAAAACGCTGCAAGAGAAGGGAATATGAAACAACTATATGATACAACGAAGAAAGTGGAAGGGAGATATAGCAAACCGGAGAGACCAGTCAGCAACTTACTAGGTAAAAAAAAGTTGAACATCTTTGCCTAAATACCGGACATTTACTTACCTCCAAATGGATTGTCTTTTGACCACAACAGTATTCTTACATATTCTATGCAATGTTCTGGAAGGCGAGGAGTATGCGCTATAGTACATAAGGGAAAATTGGTTGGTGGAGGGTATAGGTCAAGTGTACATTCTAGGCATCCAGTTAGGCCATACAGAACAACGAGGACATGTCCTTTGAATCCCTCTGTCCCACCATCAACAAGTGGTATGACAGTGTTTGGATCTGGTTGACCATCTGGATTATAACGAACTAGACTTGCCTATAATACAGAAACGAAAAAGAGATGAAAACATTACAGATATTAGATATACGGTAAGCAATTAGAAAATATTTAAAAATCAACCCAAGTGTGGAAACAATGTGCTGGCTAAATCAAATTTTTTTACCATTTCTGATAGTATCAAATAGGAATAATTTATTGTCAATAAAATGAAGTCTCGATACTGATACACCATAAATAATAGAGGAATATTTAAAGATGAACCGATTCACGTGTTATAAGACGAAGAGTCATCATTACCTTAAAAAGGTGTCAGTCAGCAATTATGATGATAATAGTAAAGTAGAATTTGGTTTAAAACATGGTTACATATATTAAAATGAATGATCTGCAAATGTCTTGAGAATGGATCTACACTTTATCCGATTTCTACAATGTCTTAATGTATTTGCTTAACAAACTACATTTCGATACAACAGAAAGAAGTAAAACGAAGGTAAATATAAACATATAAGTGTATATCATCGCCTCCGATTCACATTACTTTCTACTTGGCCTCTATGACACCATTTAGAGTGAACAGATTCTTAACACAACTCTTTTGCCATCACATAGAGTGCTATCATAGACAGCCGTTTTTGTTTTTTGTCTGCCGATGGGAAATCAGGAGGGTTGTCGAGACGAAATCCATTGTAATGAAATAAGTAAAACATACTCATAATGAAAACCGCTTTATTTAATGTCATGTTTAGTACAATAAAGAATTCTTTGCATACAATACTTAACAAGTTTATTCGGTCCTTCATAGACAAAAAATATACCCACAAAATATAAAAAATTACGTAAATAAGCTGAATTTTTTATAAAAGGATATTTTAAAGACAGTGAGTAATATGAATGCGTGTTCACTAGAAAAGGTTATCGTTGAGGTCAGACGTTAAGACACTTTTCATCCACATTATATATGACGGACACATAATTCCCAAAACTTCTTCACTGAACATAAACTTAAATGTACCTGCGTGTTGTCACGTTTGAAGATATACTCGGTGGACGATATAAACGTAGTACGTAGTTTGTTTCAAACGATAACTATTGGTACACGTTTGAGATATTTATCAACAATCATGTCTACGGTAACATCAAAAGATTTAACACCCTCCAGCTAATATCTAATCCAAGCGACACAGCAAAATCATTTATTAGTAGTCCATAAAAGACAGGACAGTATGGGATAAGTATTGTGCAAAAATTTAAAAATTGTAAAGGTATCCAGCAGTGATAAAACACAGCAGATTTATATTAAAAGTTGAACAAAAAGTATTTTTCAGTATTTAAAACGGATAGCCCAAAAGAAATCAGAAGTAGAAACCACGCCGTAATGAATGATATTTGACGTAGTTTTCCCCAATCTCCAATAATACAAGATTATTGCGATTCCAGTACGATGATAAGGTCATTTTCGTATGTTACATGTACAAAACCTATTATATGTTGCTTCTAGTAGGCTCGTTTTACCAAATATATCTAAACATTTCTTATTGCGCAGAGCACACCTTTACTTTGAAAATACCATTGCAAATGCTTATTAATGAAATATATAAAGCAATACATGACATACCAGCATAGAGTTAATCCACCGTCGAGCTGTGACTGAATCAAGACCACAAACCACAGCATTAAATTGTTTATAAAATGGCGCACCGAAATCTTGAATTTTATTGTAATGTGGGACGACCTTGCATGTTGGAATGCGGCGCATGATAAAATCAGCAGCAACATTGGCTTTCGGTTTACCGACATCGTGAGATCGGAACAGAAATTGTCTGTTCAAATTGGAAATATCGATTATATCCATGTCTATGACCTCCAGATGACAAAACCCCATCATAGCCTACACTCAATAATAGCCGCAAGATAAAAACCTACAAGGTTTTTCAGAAGCTCACAACCCAAACCTCCAGCTCCAATGACAAGGATTTTCACATGTTCTCTAACCATGCTTAAGAGCTTGAAATTTTGCGGAATTAAAAATTGCACAAACTTCATTTGACGGTTCAAATTCTGACCGATGAAATGGACCAGACCGTTCAAGAATGCATTTAAGGTTGCTCCACTTTTTGTCAGAAATCACTGAAGACATTGTACGTTTATTCTGCAGAATGATTTCTTTTGGCCTATGTGCGAGGAAAGTGAAAAGCACACACAAATTTCACTCAAATGGCTTAATTAGAAACAAGAAAACAATGCATCATTTTTCGAGATAAAAGACAAATTTTGGCAAAAGCTAGCAGCACGAGTTTTATATGTAAATGTGGGGATTTGTACTTGACGAACTGAAGAATAAGTCATTCCACAACGTATTGGAGTAACTTCAGTAATAATCAATTGTCACTGAATGATTTGGGTGTATTGTCTAAATGACTTCCTTTATGATAAGTCATTGATTTTATGACGAAAATCATGGACAATGATCTACCTCATTAAACAGTATCATGTTCTTAGAGGGCACTGATATTAAAGCCGTGATGAACTATTGTAAAGCATCCCCTTAGAACTACAATAAACTGTGAAGGAGTAACAACTGTAAACTCAAGTGTGGGAGTTTTAATGTAGGATAATAAAGAAAGCATCCAACCTAGGTCATGGGCGATGTGACCTATATGTTACATTAGGTATGTAACTCGTGGGGCCTATGTTGGAGTGAAGTCCAAATAAATCAGGAACGTTTCCAACTTTCACCATGCATGACAGTAGTAATTTGGGTTAAGTTTGCCCTTACCATGGATTGTAAAACTTTGTTTCAGGATCCAGACAACTTACGACAGCTTAAAGCGATTCGGTAGCGAAATATACGCTCAAATATTTGAGTTTGTGGCATCGATCAGTTGAAGTCAGCCAGTCAAAACGTAGAACTTCGTACGTACGTACATGAGTTCGAGTTACCATACAAAATTAGCACAGAGATGCAACTGTCGATTCAAACCCAACAGTAGTTGAGGTAGTAAGAGCATAAGCCGTAACCGGAAAAATTACCCTTTGAAGATCTTATTCAGGGAGTATAATTCAGTGAAATAAATCTGGAAAGAGAAAAAAAGAGATATGAGGAATTCAGAAGACTAGAATTTGGGAGGACACAAAGAGTGGATGCAACTGCGTCATTCCAAACGAGTTTGAGCCATGTCAGTCAAGGTCTCCAACCTTCGGTTGCTATCGTCTTGCAAATACCAATCAGATAGTCTACACCTGCCAACATGGCTCAGTCAACTTGTCAGTAACTCAATAGATTTGTGCCATGTTTTGGTCTGGCCGCCACTAGCTTTCTTCCAACCTACTCCTGTACCATGAAACATCGCTCATCAGGACAGTCGGTGGTTGGGCATACGTAATGCGTGTTCCAGAAATCTCAACTGATGGAGTTTTACTACTTCGTAAATCCATTTGCCATCCTTACCTAGTATATGTTTCCTAACAATTGCATTACTTGCTCGGTGGTCCCAGGATATACGAGCAGTGTTTCGAAGACACACATGATCGAATACTAGAAACCTACAAATCTCCTCTAATCTGACCGGCCATGTTTCAGAACCATAAAGTAGGACGGAACGAACTGCGCAGTAAACCCGTCCTTTGGTTAGTAAACGGATATCTCGTCGACGCAATAAATGACGCAAGTTGAGATCGAATTACATCGCCCAGGCTTTAAACTCAATATACTACCAAAAGTAATTCACCAAAGCTAGTGAAACGATGTCCAATTTACACTTTACTGACTGTATGCAGTTACTGTAGAATAAGCGACCGAATGGCGTTAGCATTAAGAACAAAAAATCAACACAATCAGTTACAAAAATACCACGTCCTTGGAAATGTAACAGATAGACGGTGTCTAAATGTGATGGTGAACGAAATTCTCTATGAAATTGTTCACTAGTGATTCATAACATTTTCTAAATGTGCGTGAAATTGTGAAGGAATTTATTTGTTATTTTGGAAGACGTTCGGGATTACTTCCGTCTTCGGTGTATTTTTGGAAGAATACTAAACTTGTTGACTGCATTTGCTTAAAATATATACGGAACAATTAATGGAACTGTTCCAAAATTTACCTAAAATTGATCAATTTAGTCCAAAAGTTGGGAACGTGTGAAGACACAAAAAGGAAATGGATATAAATTTATCAGACATCATGCAAATCACTCATACTTTATTACTTACGATCAAAAAAAGTACAATCCTGAGGACTGAAAGTTCAGACAGGTGTAAAGTACAGCATCTGGCGGATTCGCGTTTAGCCTGAATGTACCTTGAGTGTGAGCAGTATCTGAGAGGATCTGGAAGAGAAATAACGGAAAAGGTGAGCCGATGACTCAGTAAACACATAAAATGCACTTACATCTGTTAGTGAAAGCAACAGATAACAATTATAGATAACACGATTGTAAAATCAACACAATCTGATAAGCAAAACCCTGAGGTGGTAACGTTAGGTTTCGAAAGCGTTACTCATGTGTTCAAGTGGTTCAAATGGTTATGGACAGAATAGAAGAAGCTTTCGCTTAACGAGCTTCCGCGTCTAGTAGAAGTGAATCACCAATACTTCCAGGTATGAACTTAGGTATATTATTGACATAAGAGGAAAAATAAAATAAATCGTAGTAAGGTACTATCCTAATTCCTCAAGAATACGTCGAGCTTTCTCTGAAAGAATTCGCGAGAAATCGCTTGGATTGGCTCAGCCGGCAGAGAATTCCAGTATTTGAAAACCCTTATGGAGTAGTTATCTCTACAGTCCGTTATTTTTTGTTGAGTCTCCAGATTCTGGGTGTTACGCATTAGCTTTATGTTGGGACTAAGCTTAAGTAAGTGCTTAAGGGTGTGTCCAGAAGTGTTTCGGATGCTGTTAACGCTTAGAAAATCACCTATAAAACGTCTGTACTCTAGTGAATACAGGTTCAGTGACTGGAGGCGCTCTTCATCAAGCTTAAATTTGAACCCATGGACTGATTTCGTGGCTCGCCGTTGGATACGTTCCAGAGTGTTCTTTTCCTTTTAGAGTGAGGAAGGAAATACTATGTTTCCATACTCCGGATAGGGACGAATAAAACTGTTGAAGATTATATGGGAAGTTTTACCGTCAAACTGACTAAAAATGTGCTTCAATGTTACCGGTGCCAGGTTTGCTCGAAAGACATTTTGGTCACAGTTAGCTCAAGACTTCAAATCGTAGCGTGACATCACAGCTAAATCTTTTTCGACTTAGGATACTTTTAGAGAGGAGTTTTCCAGATTGTAACTGTAGTCTGCAACATATCTCAGATGGATCATCCAACACTTAGAAAAGTTTAAGGTAAGTCCGTTATCATCTGCCCAATTTTGAAGTCGAATCAGATCCTCCTGAAGTGCCAGTATATCCTCTTTGTTGCGTATCTCCCTCGAAAGTTTTATATCATCAGCGAAAATTAATAGATCAGACCATACCTGTTGTAGAAGAATGTTTATATAAATGAAGAAGAGAAGAGGTCCTATTACTGAACCTTGAGAGACCCCACTATGACATTCCAGAGAATTAGAGGAAGTGAAATTAACCCTGACCTTAAAATATCGATTTTTAGATAGGAAGTGAGCTAGTCAATTAAATGTGGTTTGGTACCCAATCGTTTAAGCTTATTGATAAGACAAATATGGTTGACCATGTCAAAAGCTTTCGAGAAGTCAAGGTAAATGACATCAACCTCACCTTCGGGATCATGGATGGTTGTCCATCCGTCCACTCCAGTCAGCAAGAATGACCCTTCCTGAAACAGTGCTGTTGGGGCGAAAACAAATTTAAGGATTATAAATAGTCTTCTATAGCATAACTTATCAGGGATTCCATAATTTTTGAATGTAGATAGAGAAGAGCCACGGGTCAGTAGTTTCAGAGTTCGCTAAGGTGACCTCTTAAAAATTGGTGTGATGCGAACCAACTACCAAATTTCCGGCAGTTTGCCTCGACTTGGCGAGTGTGAGAACATCACGCTAAGCGGTGTTGCCAGGATTGAAGCTGCTTCCCTCAGTATCGCAAAATGAACCATATCTAGGCCAGGAGAAATATCTTTTTTTAGGTACTGCATTTTCCGGAACACCAAGTCAGCGCTCAAGTTCACTTCGGAAAGACCTGTGCAGTTGCAGATGAAGCTTTCACCAGCATAGTTAGTGTAGGTTGATTTAAATGTCGAAACATAAGACGTCTGCAGAGACATTCTACTCGCTTCCACAACTCTAATGACTTCTCCTCTTTAGTAACGATGACAGAAATACTTGTCCAGACAAACACAATAAGTACACAAAAAGCAATGGAACAGGAAAAACGTGCTGTCGAACTTAGTAATAACTCCTCAGCACTCACCACACTCTTTCAAAATAAACTTAAACGTTCTAAGTCGAGAGGAAACATATTTATTAAAGACAAACAAGTATACGAAGATCCTAAACTTGTTACGGAACTATTTAATGAACACTTTTGTTCCTCATTAACTGATGAAAAACCACTTAATGATTCAGAACTTATCACAGCACCTGCCTGTGAGATTTCTAACGTAGACTTCAATGTACAGAATATCTCTAAGGCAATTAGTACACTGAAACACTCCTACACTGATGGACCAGATGGTATTCCGGCTAGCATGCTAAAACGTGGAGGCGATGATATGTGTGTTTTATTACTCAAACTATTTGCAATATCACTCTCTACAGCGCATTACCCTACTGCCTGGAAAACTACACACATCATTCCCAAAATTAAAACAGGACCTGAAGCAAATGTTGAAAATTACCGACCCATAAAGATAACTTCAGTGGTGTCTAGAGTGATAGAGAAAGTAGTTAAAGCGGCGTTAGTCCAACATGTAATTACTAATAATCTCATCTCGGTCTCCCAACATGGATTTCTTAGGTCCAGATCATGTGATACATGCCTAGTGGACTACATGAATGATATAACTATGAAACGAGACAATGGACTCCTTGTATCAGTCATATTTTTAGACTTTAGGAAAGCTTTTGATAAGGTTCCACACAATCGGCTACTAGCCAAACTACGATCCTTCGGAATCAACAACCCACTCTATTCATGGTTTGTTTCATTCTTAAAGGGACGTA